CCCGCGTCGTATTCCCACGTCCCTGTCACGTGTTACACCACCTACACCATTCAACAGCCCCTATTAACAACATTAGCTCGTGTCGTCAATAGGTTGGGGGTAGTGATTGTCTTGTGGTGTTACCCAGCCCCCTGACAAGATGAAAGCTGTCCAGTTTGCCTCCCTCACGTCCTCGCGTCCCACATCGCCCTCGATAGAGTTGTTGCGCCGGCCACTGTGGCCGCGAGCCATTCCAATCCAAGAGCTGCATTGTGGCGAGCAATGTAGGCCAGACCGACTCACAGCTGTGACCAGATAGAATGCGTACATGATCCCCCCCACTGTGCATATGTTCTGTAACTCATCGCCGTGCTTCCTATCGAACGCGTACGCGCGATATCCCCGACGAGTAACGCAATCGGTGGTGTCAGCATAACCTGCAAATAATTCTGCAAAGGCAACGGTGCGAGCGATAGTAGGCGCCTTCTGCAGCACCTCACGAAATAATTCGTTGTAGGTCGATAGCTTGACATCAGGGCTCGCAAAATTGCACACATAGCCACGTTCAGAATAGAACTCAGCGCGGGATCGGGCCCAACGACGGGCCTCCTCAAACACTGGATGCTCAGGATGATCAGCAATGCAGCACGCGGGCCTCTTTGAGGCCTTCTTACCTGCCCCGACCAGACGCACCAGCAATGCCAATGTTAGTAGCCACGCACCAGCGCGAGCCATTCCCCCCCTGGTATATATGGAATCAGGTTCAACTGGGATTGCAGATCTATGAATGTGTGGATCCTCTTGTAAAACGTAACCCTATGAGCGAAGCGCGCAATGTTCCTCACTGGCAGATTCAATGTTTCGTCAATGAAACAGTTTACATTTTCAGGGAGCCGTGATCTTGGATCCTGGTCCAGAGAGTGATGCCGCGCACCCGTTTGCCACCCGCGTTGCCTCCGCCCCCGCTACGCCGAGAGATAGATGTAGCAGGTTGAACTGCGCCTGGTCGAGGGCGCGGGGCCCAGTGCCAGAGGGCGGAGGCGGCGCGACTGGCGAATGGGTGCGAGGCGCCACGCAACCCGTTACCCCCTTGGGGGCCGAGATTTGGAATGAGGATTGCCTCAAGCTAGGGAGCGACCCCGATGTAGGAGCAACTATACGTGTGAAAGTTGTTGCGGTTTGTTTGATCCAGCTTGAGGCAATCCACAATCCGAGAGCTCGCCTGTCGGTCATATGGACACACAGATGATGCTTCGGAGTGAGGTCGATGCCCGTCAGCTCGCAACAACGTAGGTGCACGCACATGCACGCCATAAGCTCAGCACACACATCATCGTCCACTATGCACGGATTCTGCCGCACAAGATCCAAGTATCGAATTAGGGAATGTCCTGCATGCATCAGCGGCTCACCAAATTTAGCAGACCCGCCTGACGTCTCGAGCACATGCACCGCGAACTCTAGGATAATACCAGTCTCGGCAGCTTTGAAACTCCTCGTGCACCCTGGATGCTTGGATAGATTGTGCACTTTCTTAGTAGCCGTCTGCCCCATAGACTTCAACGTGAAATATCATATTTTTCTAGTGTTACCATGGCGCATGTAAGTAGCAGCGAACCAATCATCCATGTCTGCCGACAGCCGTCGACACCCTATCTCGAGTCGTTGCTGGAGGCTCCCTCGGCAGTCCCAGGGGTTCGAATTCAATGCTCTCCAGAGGCTGGCCGAAGCGAACTTTTGCACTGGGCCGCAATAAAGGGTGTGGAGGCTATCGATAGCAAGGGTCCTTGCTGGAGATGATTCCAAGGACCCGTCAAACAGCGGACACCTTGACAAGACGGATCGGTCCTTGCTCGTTGGAATGGTGGAGGAGATATGGCGATGGGCGAGGGGTTGAGGGGGGGTGATGATTCGGAGGAATAGTGGGCGGGTGAGCACGGTCGGGGGTCGGGTTGCCAGGGGCCCAGGAGCATGTGTTGAATTGCATCGGCCCCCCCAAATACCCCCCATGTGTTAATCCCCGTCCAACGCCCGATCTCCACCTCACATTCCTGGCGGGATCCCCGTCTGGCCCTCTCCTGTGGCCTGTGCACGACCGCATCCAATGCCAGACCATCGGCACCCCGTCTGGACCTCCAGAATACAGCTTTTAGCGGGAGGGCGGCACGCGGGAATGCGAGGATGCCCAACAGGGAGGGCGACGGGTCGAGTCGGTCCCCAATCTTGAGCTGCACCCCCCCGACGACCAGGTCCGATATTAGAGTGGGCCCCCTCCTGCCAGGTTTAGGAGCCCAATCGATGCAATCGGCGACGCGCTTCCGATCGAGATGGGTCTCGGCCGTTATGTGAACTTCGCAAACAGTGCAGGAACGTTAGTAGTCATCGTGCTGTCGCAATGGGAACGTCGGAGTGGCGGGATCGCATACCATGCACTCATTCATTGAGTGCAGCCCGTCTTTCACCAAACAACAGTATTGACACGGGTTGTAGCGGCTGGCCCACGACGACAGCCCCAAGGTCTTGCTTGCTGTGTTCTGACCAATCACCTTTAACCCAGAGTAACACGCATTTTCTGGCCATGGCCCGCTGGTCTCCAAGAGTGTCAGAGTCATCCCACTCCGTCCCGTCGTGCCGACGTTCAGGAAATCGCCCCATTCCGAGCGCCACAAACATCCATTGCCTCAGATGCCATTGAATCCCATGGCACGAGGCACCACCGACCCCCGACCTGGTCCGATCCCGTGCACAACACGCTGCATCTTGCCAGCAATTCGAGCCGAGTCCAGCGCGTGGCGAGCTGCCCGACCACCAGTCAAACACGTGACATACCCACCCCCGCACATCACACACGCCGTGGGATTCGCGGCACTAAGGCGCGCACAGCGCACAGAGCGCAGGATACACAGTACACCACTGTTTGCACCCACAGCGGCATCCATCGCGATCTTTTATCCCTCCCAGCAGGTGCCGTTTCGACGTCACTAAGTTTATTGCCCAGAACCCGATGACGGAGTCTTGTCTACCAGAAGCCCCATTTTGATACGAAATACCGTCGATATACAGTCCAACGGGTAGGGGTTGAGGTTCTTGGGCGTCCCTGGCTCGGACAACAGCTGGGTGGAAACGATATGCTTTTGTATCCAGCGCGCACTTGGCGCGATCCTCATCTGCTCCGTCTAAAATGGTCAAACACTGGCTGTTCGACCGCAGCTCGGCGTCAATGGACTCAAACGCCGTTCTGAATTGGATCGACAATGGCTTCCTAGATGCACTCGTGTTCCAATTCCCAGGAGTAACTATAGTGTACAGCAGCGCGGGCTGGGGTAATACTTTATCTAGGTTGCTCTGGTACTTGCCAGTCTGCTGGCCTGGGCTCTGCCCGTACATGGCGAAACCACTTCCTGGCGTACCCGCTCGGTCGAGGTGCCAGCAAATGATCGCGAAGTCTTGCGCCGAAATCTTACACTGAGCATACAGGCCTAACAATAATTTGAGGGCCTCTGCTCCATGCACACGCCGAGCATGTTCAGTGCGTCGCCGTGCTCGTCTGCTCCGACTCCTCGATCTCGACATGGCGAGCCCGAGAGACAAGAGGGGCATTGTACACGTTCGCGCAATGGGGTTTGATTTGGGCGGCTGCAGAGTCTCACAGGTTTAAAGCACAGGTTTAAAAGCTGGTGGTCTAGGACGATTTCTAGGATGTAGAGCCATTGTCGATCCGATAGAATCAAACGTTTGGGTCGAACGATCCGCGCCAGCCCGCCCTGATTCATCTCAGACGCAACCGAGATGTCACGCGCCAGGGCAAGTGCCCCAAGAGCCCTGGCGGGGCAAGCTCACACTGCGACCGCAGTGTGCAGAGACAAAAAAAACGCAGACGGTGCAAGCAGCTTCGGCGCGGGCATTGCAGCCATTGGGATCGAATAGAAAGGACGGATGGTTGGGGCGGAAGAGGTGGATCATGAGGATGAGGTGGAGGCAGAAAAGGGGGCGGGGATGTGGAGAGGGAGGAGGATGAGGAGGATGAGGCGGATGATGAGGCGGAGAAGGAGATGAAGGATGAGGAGGAGGAAAAGTGACAGACCAAGGATAGCGAGGATGAGGAGGAGGAAGATGGGGAGGAAGACGAGGATGATGATGAGGAGGAGGTGAAGAGGAAGGTGAAGGCGGAGGAGGGAGGGAGGAAGGACAGAAGAGGAGTAAGATAAATACAGTCTGACAGCGCGGCGAAGCTTCAAACTGCAATCGAATGATGCACACCAATGTTTACAACCAGGACTCAATCGTTTCTGGAAAGGCTAGGGGCTGCGCGAGCCTTGCGATCGTTTCTGGAGGGGGTCGAGGTGGCTGAGATGTCAGCCGAGCCCATGGTCGATGGTGCATCCTGAATCTCAAGAACACGCGCATAGAAAAAAAGCCACGTTGCAGCGCGAGCTGCAGGAATCACATGCTAGATCACTTGGTGTACCAGGTAAGAGGATATCGTGGGCGATATACGATGGCTGATGCCTGATATCCGTGACCCCAAGCTAGTGCGCTCAAGGTCGGGGTGATCGCTGCGGGGTTTCCCACCAAACACAACGAAACTCAAGCATTTTTGCAGCTACTGGTCACTTACCAGGTGTCAACGAACCTTCAACGGCTCGTCAACGGCACATGGGGTATCAACGGATCGGGGTGTCAACGCCACAACGTGCGGATGTATCGGGCCATTCGGTCGTTTCTACAAACCTTCAACGTACCTTCAACATCCAGGTGTCAACGGACCTTCAACGCAATGACGCCCCGAAGATTCCCGGCCCCAGTGTGGTTTTTTCCGGCTCGGGCGTGATTTCTACCGGCTCGCCTAGGTTTCGCGTGATATTTCGCATCCAGATAAGTTTTTTCGGTTTTCAACTTGCCCCGACCTGGATCGACACGCATTCGAGTTGAATCCAGCCGTGGTTACGAGAAAACGCCTTCCACTCGACATTTCTCCCGCGCAACGATCACCCTCGACCTTTTTAGTTGCACACCCCCCGCTAGTCGCTGCCGTCCAGGTTGGCCCTCGTGTCGCGGTCCCCAAGGAGAGTCTTGTTCTGGCGGCGCAGCTTCTCCAGGGGCTTGGCGAGATTCACGGAGCCAATGAGGACGGCCTTCATCGCGTCTTCGTCCAATGCCTTCCTGACCTCGGCCATGTCTCGGGAGAGGAGGTCTCTGAGGTTCGGGACCTTGTTAATCTCATCCAGGACGTGCTTCTGGGCCTGGGATGACAACAGAAGTTTGGAAAGCCAGCGTCCTCCCCATCATTTAGGTTGGCGTCCTCTTCCTCGTCCTCATCCTCCTCATCCTCGTCCTCCTGCTATCAGTTCCCCATCGATATCCAAACTTGCGTGCTTCATTCAAGCATCCTCCTAGCACTCAGATTCCTCCTGATCCTCACCCCTCACCCCTCGCACAGGGGGGCGAGGGGAGGGGGGGGTAGAATCATGATGATGAGAACGAGGAGGATGAGGAATATATATATATATATATATATAGACTAGAGAGGAGGGTGGCGGCGAGGATGAGAGGAAGACGAGTGAGGTAAGATAACAAGGCCCCACGCGTCCTGCTTCAGATCCTTGGTGCGGGACGGGTCATCCTTCGCGAATTTCCAGGACTCGTCGCACTCGATGTCGGACAAAATCGTGTGCGCCTGCACCATCACGGACATGCACAGGGCAATGATGTCTTTGGCGGGCTTCATGTACTCGAGCAGCGGGTTCGCCTTCTTCTCCTTCTTCTCAGGTGGCCCTCCAGCTTCGTCGGCGCCCCTCTTGTTGGCCTTCTTCTTGGCGCTGGCCACCGCGGCTGTGGATCCTGAGCCCGCGGAGGTCGCAGCAGCTGCCGCCTGGTCAGATGCAGGCGCCTCGATGTCCGTCTTGATCTTCTTCGCCTCGGGGCCATCTGCCGTCGCCGCCGCCGCGCTGCCCGATCCAGCCGCCGTCGCCGTCGATGCAGCGCGGGCCCACTGCTGGTGGCGGCCCCACGCCTCCGAGAAGTGCTCGGTGTAGGTCTGGATCGTGTAGAGCACCTTGAGGTTCTTCGTGGACCCATCGTACAGGATGAACGGCCCTCCCATGGCGATGCACTTCGCGTAATGTTTCACCGCGGCGGCCCAACCACTTTTGCCGCCGCCCTCCTTCCAGGCTATGCGGGCCAATGGAAGGTATTGACCCTTCTTCTCCCACTCCTTCCGCATGGTCGTGGTGAGCTCCTTCGTCTCCTTGAACGACGTGTGCTCCCCCTTGGCCCACTCCGCCCTGAACTGCTCCTGCTTCGCCCAGAGCCCCCTGCCCTTGAGCCCGACGCCGCGCTCGGAGTACCTCTTGGCCAGGTCCTCGTTGTTGGCCAGCTCGCGTTACCACCTCCCTGCCGCTGGGTTGCCCGCGGCGCCTCTGGCCCCGAACGTGTACCCATCCTGCTCGAGGGCCTCCCAGAACTCCTTCTCGCGCCTGTCCTTCTCGCTCATCGGCTCCTGCGCACTGGCGTCGGCGAAGCTGCCGTTCGCGCCAGCCCACGTTCTCATCTGCTCGAAGGGGGGGGGGGGGGGCTCCGCATGAGCTCCTTGAGCTCCTTGAGGATCTTGTCCTCGTCTGGCTCCGAGCTGCCCACCACGCCGCTGATCTCATCAGCCTTGATGTTGAAGTCGTCCAGGGGGCTCCTGGGGCTGAGGTTGCATGATTTGGCCTCATCCGTCTCTTCATCCTCCTCGTCCTCTTCCACCTCCTCCTCCTCTTCCTCCTCGCCCCCCCTCCTCGCCTGCCATGGGAGAGGCATGCGATACGTTCGCGGAGGCGGGGTGTTGCGGGTGAACAAAATGGAGAGGAGGGTCCAGACAGGAGGAGGTGTAATACCAACATGCTCCCCCATCATGCTCGGATGTCGGTGTCTGACAACACCGATGTCCTCTTCACACTCTTCGTCGGCGTCTCGAGGGGCCTGCCGATGGCGGCGGGGGCGGAATCGGGGAGACGACGGAGCTCGCGCACAGGAGCGCCACCGCCTGCCGCCGCCGCCGCGCATCTCGGCCTGCGTGATGATGCTGCCGCCGCCCGCACGACCTCGTCGTCCGCTGCATCGGTCTCGGGCACGGGCTCGCAGTCGATCGTCGCGCCGTCGGTGATCGAAGTCTTGATCAGCGGCTTCAGGAGGTCGTCCTCATTGTCCTCGCGATCGGGAAGGAGGATGTGATAGTGAGAAGGTGGATTGCGAGAAGGGCGGGCTGGATCGCCATTGGCCGATTCGAGTCAGCACTGTTCCGTGGAGGTTTGAGGAGGAGGAGGATCAAGATGAGGATGTGGGGGGATGGCGAGAAGAGGGATGAGGAGTAGGAGGGTGAGGGGAGGGGTGGAGGTGATGGAGGAGTGGAACGAGAAGGGAGCCAGTGAGTACGATGAGACAGGTGGGGGGGTATATCCCTCTCGTCGATGGTCTGATCGATGATCATGTTCACCCGCTCGAAGATCTGGAACGGCGTCGGGTCAGAGTCGAGCAGCTCGCCCTTGTCGATCAGCTCGCCCATGTCGATCAGCTCGCCCGTGTTGACCAGCTCGCCCTTGTCGATCAGCTCGCCCTTGTCGATCAGCTCGCCCGTGTTGACCAGCTCGCCCTTGTTGATCAGCTCGCCCTTGTTGACCAGCTCGCCCTTGTCGACCCGCTCGCCCTTGTCGGCCCGCTCGCCCTTGTTGACCAGGTCGCCCTTGTTGACCAGCTCGCCCCTGTTGACCAGCTCGCCCGTGTCGACCCGCTCGCCCTTGTCGACCCGCTCGCCCTTGTTGACCAGCTCGCCCTTGTTGACCAGCTCGCCCGTGTTGATCAGCTCGGGCCCTTCCTTCAGCGTGTCCCCATAGGCCGCTCCGTCCTTGCGAGGGCCACGTCGGGTTCCGATGTCTGTATCCCCCATCTCCTCCTCCATGTCATCCTCCTCATCAGCATCAGCATCATCATCATCATCATCATCATCAGCATCATCATCATCATCAGCATCCTCGTCTTCATCCTATGGCTCCTGATTCAGCCCATCTTCCTCCTCGCGATCTTTCTCCTCGTCCCAGTCCCCCCATCTCCGAACTCACTTTCGAGCTCCAACATCCCCCTCGCCATCCTGCGGCCCATCCTAGAGCGTCTCCTCCGCGCGCCCCGTCGATCCCAAGAAGCGGGGCGACGGGGAACGGGGCAGGGGCGGGGTCCGTGCGTGGCACGTGGCGGGCGCGGGCCGAGGGGTATTGGATGGACCAGTCGAGGTCCTCGACCAGGGTAGCTTCTTGTGGCTCACCGAGCTCACGACAGGACCAGGGGCCAGGCGGTGGAGAGTCCTGCGGGTACGTGCCCTGGGAATCACTAAGGGGGCGCTGTGCGTCAGTGAATTGCGTGCACTGGGGAGGAACATCTGGCGGGCCGGCGCTGTCGGGCAAGTTGGGGACGCCTAAATCGCGCAGCAGCTGGTCGTCGAAGCCATCGGGGACGAACAACTCGTCGCCAATCCTGAAACCGTTCTCGACTGCCAGCGTGTCGGGACTGAGATCGATCACGGCGCGGGCTGCAGTCGGCGGCGTCGGTGACTGGCTCCTCCGAGATGGCGATGGCTGCTCCTGGGGGCGCAGTCTTTCTCACGTTCTCTCCCTCTCTCTCTCTATCTCCCTCTCGCCTTCTCGCACTCCCCCTCCATCATCATCTTGCTGTCAATATCATTATCTGTTGGTCCCTCCCGTCTCTCTCGAGTCCCTTCCTCCTGATTATGTTTGTTGTTTTCCTCGTCCCATCCTCATCCGAGCTCTGATCCATTGAGGCCCAGTCGCACATTGCCCGACCCGCAGGAAAACAAGGGGGTGCCGATCTTCGTCGACCATAGGGGGGGCGGGGGTGGGCACGCGCATCGGCGGGGAGGGTCCACGGGTGCGTGCGCTCGGAGTCCCAGGGCCAGATGTGAGATGGTGTTGTGGTGGTTGTTGTTGGTGGTGCTGTTGGTGTTGGTGTTGTTGTCGTTGGTGTTGTTGTTGGTGTTGATGTTGGTGTTGATGGTGTTGTTTGTGCTGTTGGTGTTGCTGTTGATATTGGTGTGGTTGTGGTTATGGGTGGTGGTTTCATTGGTATTCCCGTTGTTGTTATCGTTGTTGTTGTTGGTGTTGTTGGTGTTGGTGGTGCGACTGCCGTTGTTGCTGGTAATGTTGAGGTTCGTGATGCGTTTGTTGTTGTCGGCATTGTTGTTGTTGGTGTTGGTGTTGCTGCTGTTCCCCCCGCATGTCCTCCACGTCGTTCTCCTTGGTGGCGGCGGCGCCGCGAGAAATCGCCTGTCCGATGGTCGTCATGCGGAGCCAGTTCGGTGGAGTCTGCCCCCACTGCACGGACCCCATCAGGGCCCTCCCTCTTGGTCATTGCTGCTGCGGGTGACCCCCAATCTGTGGGCGGAGGTGGAGGAGGATAAGGATGAGGGGGAATAATGATGAACGGCAGTAGAGGAGGAGGGCGGGGAGTCGGGCTATGAGAAAGAGGAGACAGAGTGACCATTTGGGATCTCGAGGAAGATGGCGAGGACGAGGGTGATGATGTTGATGACGACGATGCTGATGATGCTGACGAGGCGGAGGAGGAGGAAGATGACGAATGTCAATTTCCCCTAGGCGATCTTTCGGACGTTCGGGCGTTCGGGGGTTCGGCGGGGTGGCGATTCAGCTCTCGGCGACGCTCAGCTGCTGTGCCCAGCTAAATCAGCTCTCGGCGAAATTCAGCTCTCGGCGGGGTGGCGAATTCAGCTCTCGGTGATTCAGCTCTCGGCGGAACTCAGCTCTCGGCGAAACTCAGCTCTCGGCTCTCGGTGCGCAGGCAGCCTCGACGGATGATGAAGGTTCGCACCAGCGAATTGCACATTCACAATCAGATGTTCTGAGCTCTGGGCAAGTCGAGCAAACGCTGCCAGCTGCATCTGTCATGCGATCATGTGTGGCAGCAGTGCTGTATGGCTGCGAGCTCGACGGGGCGCCCATCAATCAAACAAAAAATCTGGAATCTGCGGCATGGCTGGCACTCCCCCTGGCGTCGCCTGCTGCGGCGACGACGACGGAGGCGGCGCAGACGCTGTCACTGCGGCTGGGCGCTTCATCACCTCGGGCTGCGTACTCACCGCTGGCCTCGGCGTGCGCCTGATGGCCTCGGCCAGCTGCTGCTCTGGCCCCGCGCCCTCGTCATCCACCTCGTCATTGGCCTCGTCCTCCTCCTCCTCGTCCTCGTTGACGTCCAGCTTCTCCTCCTTGGTGGAGCCGTCCTCGTCGCCCTCCTCGTCCGCCGCGTGCTCCTCGGGCTCCTCGATGTCGTCGTCCGACGTCCCCTTCGGCTTCTGGGGAGTTGGCATGCTCGTGGATGCCGCTGGCCTCTTGAGGATCTTCGTCTGACCACTTGGTTTTTTCCTCACCGCCAGGCCGTTGGTAGAAAGCCACTCTCGTTTTTCTGCCTCCATCTGCGGCTTGTCGATCTCCCCTGACAGCAAGCGCTTGGCAGCGCTGATCATCCACACCTTCGCCGCCTCCTCGGACGCGCACCCCATGAGCTGGCACTTCTGCTCGTCGCGTTGACCAGCCCGCGGATGCCACAAGACCAGCCAGCTGGTGCTGACTTTGTTCACCTTCTTCAGCACGATCCTGTAGTTCGCGTCGTCTGGCGCGTGGCCCTCCCAGATGACGCCGTCCTCGGACCTCTGCTTAGGCCCGTCGTTCAGCCCGAGGTCGTCGGGCACCCTCCACGCGTCGCCGTCGGACCACTTCGCGACAGTGTACCCGACGCCGTCGGCATCCGTCATCTTCGCCATGGCCTTGGCGTACTCCATGCGCCCGTCCGGCTTCGTCGCGCGCGCGCGCCACGCCACCTACCGAGAGCCGCAGACAGGCGGGAACGGCGGCGGAGATGGCGATGACGACGACAAGTCGAGGCGGAGGCAATGAATATAGTGATACGGACGTTGAGGGGGGGAAGGCGACGAGAAGGAGAGCGATTAGGAATGGAGGTCGAGACGGGTGCGATAGGTGGGTCTGCCGACGAGGAGGGTCATTCCGAAAAGGAGGCATGCCGATCACGACAGGAGGATTACGGCAGAGGGTGATGTGGGCGTGGTGTTGACCACCAGGTGATCCACGGGACGGGACTGAACGATAAAGGATACGATTGGCAGAGCAACGAATGGAGCGAACGATGAGCAGGAGGAGCAGGAGGATGATGAGCTGGATCGGTTGCTTTGGATGAGTGCGTCCACCTGCATGTCCGCGGCAATGCCGTACGTCCACGTCTTGTCGGCAGTCGAGTCCTATCGAGGTGGCGGAATGCAGGATGGGAGTGACCACGCATGTATTTCTTCACACGTATATGCGTATGTGCACAACCATGTTGAAAGATATGGGGAGGGAGACAGGTGTATATACAGGACCATGAAAGACATGAGTGCTACATGACCTCAAGATATGCACGTATCTACTGAGGGATGGATAGATCGGCG